TTGGTACCGGGAATGGAACTCAGGACCTTGTGCTTTCAAGGCAGGTGGCTGCACCACTGAGCTAAATCCCCAGCCCTGTTTGTTTTTTGAGACAGGGTCTCACTATGTAGCCCAAGCTGGCCTGGAACTTCTTCCACCTCAGCCTCTGCTGCGATGGCAGCTGTGAGCCACCGTACCTGGCCTGTTTTCCAAACTGAAAGGCCAAGAACACTCATTGAGCAGGGACATTGGGCCACAGGCTGTCTCACAGAGTAAGGGCCACCACAGTCCTTGGTGGCCCAGGGCGCCCAGGCTAGCAGCTCAGGCAGGCGCCTAGCAGGGAAAGCTGGTGTGGGTTTGGTCCCTATGCCAGGCTAGTGGACACGGAGCTGGCCCCAGGCCAAACATGGGGACCCAGTGGAATCAGGGCCAGTGAAGCAGAAGCTTTTCTGTGACCTGATGCTCTAATGTCCCCAAATAAATGCAAGGCTGCCTCCATCCAGTTGCTGCCAGCCCTCGGGAAAGTAGTCTTCCATCAAAGTCCCCTCCAGCCACCAAGGGCTCTCACAAGAGAAAGACTTAGGGGGCGCACGCCTGCAATCCCAGCACTCTGGGAGGGCCGCAAGTTCCAGCCCAGCCTGGGCAACCTAGAGACCCTGTGGCAAAGTAAAGGGAGGGCTGGCGTGGCTCGGTGTGATGGCCTTGGGCTCCATCCCAGTACTGCCAGGCCTTCCCCGCCCCTACAGGCATCCTCTGTCCCCAGGTCATGGGAGTGTCCTGACACTGCAGCTGCTGCCCTTCCGGGGGCTCTGACATCAAGTGCCTTGCAGGCTCCAGATGTGCACAGCCACAGCTGTACCTGCAGTTAGATCCCCATTTCCCTCCTAGTGTCATTGATTTGTATTTTCTTTTCCTTTCCTATTTTTACTTTTTTTTGTACCGGGGATCAAACTCGGGTCCTTGCACTTGTGCAGCAGGTGGCGAAACCACTGAGCTAAATCCCCGGCCCATTCTTTGGTTTTTTGAGACAGAGTCTTGCTATGTAATTCAAGCTGGCCTCGAGCTCATGATCCTCCTGCCTCAAGGCTGGGATTACAGGCTTCACCAACACACCCAGCTTCCCTGATCACTAGAGAAGTGGCACAGTTGTGTACAGTTTCTTTCTTAATTATGTTATTTATATATGCATAATGTATATTATTATTATTTTTTTGGTACCGGGGATCAAACTCGGGACGTTGTGCTTGTGAGGCAGGCGGCAGAACCACTGAGCTAAATCCCCAGCCCTCGTTTTGTTTGCCTCGTTTTTGAGACAAGGTCTGGCTATGTAGTTCAGGCTCCCAATGGTTGCACCACCACACCTGGATTTCTTCTTTCATTCTTGCTAGAGATACATCTATTGTACTACCACACTTTCAAAGGAACTTCTGCTGCTATTGACCTATCTCTTTCCATGTAATTAATTGCTGCTGTCTTGCTGACCTTCTTCTGCTTTTGCTTTTCTTTTATTTTTTGGCACCGGAGTTCAAACCTAGGACCTTTGCACTGAGCTACATTGTCTTCTATTGTTTTAATTTTGAGAAGGGTCTTGCTGTCATTAAATTGCCCAGGCTGGGCTCAAACTTGGAATCCTCCTGCTTCAGCCTCCCAGAGTGCTAGGATGACGAGCACGTGCCCCAGGCCCGGGCCTCCTATTGTCTGTGGGTTTAGTCTGTGGGGCTGGGAGGCAATTGTCAGGTTGGTGCTCACCGGAGGGCTGCCTGTTGGGCAGCTTTCGGTGACGGTGACGTCATGCCTGGGACAATCACCTTCTGAATACAGAAGGTTCCTTTCCACCCCGGGTTTGGGAGATTCCCGTCAGCAATGAGCTGGCCCCATTGCTCTGGGCCCGTGGCAAGGCAGCTTCGTGGCAAGAGTGTGCAGAAGAGTGAAACTGCTTGCCTCAGGGGTGGGAAGCAAAAAAGGAAGGAGCAGGTATGGTGGTGCATGCCTGTTAGCCCAGCCCTTGGGAGGCTGAAGCAGGAGGATGACAAGTTCAAAGGCAGCCTGGGAAGCATAGAGAGACCTCCAACTTTCTGGGGATGTAGCTCAGTGCTAGAGCACTTGTCTAGAGAGACTTCTGCCTCAAAGAAAAGAAAGTGCAGAGCAGGGGCTGTAGTTCAGTGGCACAGTGCTTGGCTGGCATGCATAAGGTGCTGGGCTCCATCCCCAGCACCCCAAATAAATAAGTAAATAAAATGTGCAAATATGGAGGGCTTAATTTTAGTTTCGTTATTGATTTATGATTTAACTCTTTTTTGAGACAGGGTCTGGCCATGTAGCCCTGGCTGGCCTGGAACTTGTGGCGATCCTCCTGCCTCAGCCTCCTGAGTGCTGGGATGACAGGCCTGTGCCCCACACCCAGTGTGACTTATGATTTTATTCTACTACAGCTCAAGAACATGGTCTGTATGGCACCAATTGTTTTTCTACTTGTTGAGATTTCTTTTATAACCTCAGGCATGATGAGTTTTGAGGGTTTTTTTTTTTTCTTTTTTAACCTTTTTTTGGTTTTCGGAGACAGGGTCTCTCTAGGTAGTCCAGGCTGGCTTCTATATCATAGTGATCCTCCTGCTTCAACCTCCCAAGTGCTGGTGCTATGTAAGTTATGCAGTCTTGGGAAGAGAGGTGGGGACAACTCCCAGGCCTCCAATCTGCCAGCGTTTAGGCCCCAGGCTCGCCCCTCCGGGTGCTACCTCTGAGGCGGCAAGTGGTTGCTTCTGTCTCCCTCGGCCACCCAGTATAGTGCCTGTCTGTCGGTCTGCCATCAATCCCGATCCTGCCCCAACAAACCGCTATCTGTCCATCACCTCCCTGGCCACGAGCCCCAGGTCTTTCCCCCTCCCAGCTGTCTACTTAGCGAGGTTTAATCCCTTTAAAGTGCCCAGTGGTGTGGTCTAGTCAATTCCCATCACTCCCTGAAGTTCCAGAACATTCTCCCTCCTCCTCCTCCTGAAAAGGAAACGCTGTACCCAAAGTGCTCTCAGCCCTGGCAACCGCTAACACTCCTGTTGCTATGGAGCTGCCTGTTCCCAACCCTTCATTTCAGTAAAATCCTGTGCTCCGGGCCTTTGGCATCTTTCACTCAGTGGCACCTCACCTGAGTGGCTCTCTTGTGTTGTTGCATGTGCCAGCGCTCTGTCCCCTCTTAAGGCCAAGTGGCACTCCGTTGTGTAAAGATCTATCTATCTATCTATCTATCTATCTATCTATCTATCTATTTTTTTTGCAAAAGGGCCTCAGTATAGAGCCCAGGCTAGGCTCCAATGGTGATCCTCCTGGTTCAGCCTCCCGAATGCAGGGATGACAGGTGTGCACCGCCACACGTGGTTTTGTGGCTTCCTCCTGCAGGGACTGGGCAGCAGTGCCCTCTCCTGTTTGGGCGGTGGAAGGTCACTGCCCTGTGACTGGCCCTATGGAGCACTCAGATTCCGTCAGCCAGAGGGGAGCTAGGCCGCGCATCCCGCTCCCCTCCCGCCCTGCCCCGGCTTCCTTCCCGACCCCCACCTCCACGCCGAGAGAGGGAGGCGGGAGCGCGTTTTCCACGGCAGCTTTACTGAGGGGACTGAGGGCGCCCCGCCCGGGGCCGAGGGCCCGGGAAAGGCACACGCGGAGGTAGGGTCTCCCTCTGGCGACACAGCGCCCCCTGGAACCCCTCTTTGGCACTGAGCTGGGAACACGGAGCCCTGGCTCCCAGTGGACGGGCAGCGCGCGCCCCCCAGTGGCGGCTGGCAGTGTAGACTGGCGGGGATGGTGGTGGTGGCTTCTGGGAAGGACTGGGCCTGGCCACCGCCCCCGCTGGCAATGGAGGTGGCCACGAACAGGGAAGCCAATAAATTAGGTGGAAGAGAAGGGCGGGGCTGCCTTCTTGTGGCTCTTCTCCCATTCCAGGGGGCTCTTGGGGACTCCTGGTGGCAGAGAGGACACCGGCACGGGGCTCTCTCTGACCCTGGGCCCTGTTTGGCTGCTTCTCTGGCAGGAAGGGCATCCCATGGGTCAGGGGCCTCTCCTAGCCACCCCAGGAGTGGCGACAGCAATGGGGAAGTGGGGACATGAGTCTCAGGAGGGAGGCTGCCTCTAGCTGGCAGCAGTGAGCTGGGATTTGGGGGTCCCACTCCATCCCCCAGCTCAGCCCCGAGCCTCATGCCCCTCCCCGGAGCAAAGTGAAGGACTCGCTGCCCCATGTGGCAGTCACAGTGGCATAGAGCTCCAGGGTCCTGGGTCCCTGGCTCCACCAGGAAGGGTGGCTGAGGCCCTGGGGTGGGAGGCATGCGGGGCAGCAAAAGCAGAAGGGCAGGGTAGGGACCTCGGGCCGGTTTCCTTCAAGTGATCCGAGATCCTGGGGTAGGGCATGGTGGGGGCTGGGAGGCCTAGCGGCGCTCAGATGGAGACACCAGGGCCAGGGGCCTCGCCAAGGATGTGGCGCAGCTCCTGCAGGCGCTGCTGCATCTTGGGGACGCCGGCCAGCTGCTGCTCTAGCCGCTGCCGCTCCTCGGTGAGGCTCAGCCTGGCCGCCGAGTCCAGCTTCTCCAACTTCCAGCCACCCTCGCCGTCGAACTGCAGCAGGTGCGTGTGGTACTTCCTGTGGGAACAAGGGGGACCTTGGCTGTGGCCCACCCTCCCTGCCCAGGCCACCCCCAACCCCCAGGGCAAGCCTCACGGAGGGGTGCCTACCACAGTGAGGGCCGGTGAGTGATGGACAGCAGAGCGATGCCCGCGTCCTTGGCCGCCTGGAAGATCTTGCCCTCCACGTCGATGCTCACGGCGCTGGTGCACTCGTCCAGCAGGGCGTACTTGGGCCTTGGGGTGCAGCAGGGCACGGGCTGTGGGTGGACGCCTCCCTCTTCCTGCCTCCCACCTCCCAGCTGCAGGGTCGCCCCAGGCCTCACCTGTGGTAGAACATGCGAGCCATGCCAATCCGCTGCTTCTCACCCCCAGACAGCACATCCTTCCAGTCACACAGGGCCTCCCAGCCTGTGCAGGGCGGGGACTCAGCTCAGCCCCATGGGGGCCTGGGTGCGTGTGTACATGTGTGTGCGTGCAGCGAGCCCACAGGGGCTGTGGAGACAAGATCCCTGGGAACAGGGGGCACATCTGACCCCGAAGGAGCTTGTCCAGGGGCCTACTTCTGCTGTGTCCCACCTGGCTGTCTGTCTGTGGTACTTTAATAATCGAAAAGGAGTTGGAGTTGGGGGATGGGTGGTGCACGCCTGTAATCCCAGCACTGAAGAGGCCGAGGCAGTAAGATTGCCGTGAGTTTGAGGCCAGCCTGGGCTACATAGCAGGCCCTATCTAAAAAAAGATAAAACCTGGGGCCGGGGATTTAGCTCAGTGGTTTCCCCACCTGCTGCGCAAATGCAAGGACCAGAGTTTGATCTCCATAAGAAAAAATAAATAAATAAACAACAAAAAAAAACAAAACCAAAGCTAGGCATGGTGGTGCACTCCTATAATCCCAGCACTTGGGAGGCTGAGGCAGGAGGACCACCATGAATTCGAGGCCAGCCTTGGCTACATAGTGAGTTCAAGGCCAGCCTGCACTATAAAGCAAGACCCTGTCTCAAAACAAACAAACAGCCTGTGATTTAGCCTTGAAAGCACAAGGTCCCGAGTTCCATCCCAGTACCAAAAAAAAAAAAAAAAAAGAAAAAACAGGGCCAGGGGTTTAGCTCAGTGGCACAGTGCCTGCCTGGCAAGCGTGATGTCCTGAGTTTGATCCCAGGTACCAAAAAAAACTCCCCCCCCCAAAAAAAACCACAACAAAAACAAAACCAAGAGACAGAAGGTGAGCACCCTTTGCTCCCACTCTTGCTTCCCAGCTGAACTCAGTCCTAACAGGTACAATGGCAGCCACAGGGCAGGAGGAGGGTGGGCCCAGGGGAATGTCATAGGAGCAGAGACAGAAGACTAGGCCACAGGCATGTGACAGACCTCCTCCTGCCCCTGCCCTGACTTGAGTGGCAGCCGGGGCACACTCTGGGAGTGGAGTTCGGGGACAGGACCTGGTCTCGTCCTTCTATGTGTGAAGGGAGGTAGAGGAAGGGCTTTGCCCAAGGCCATCTTGTCCCTAGCAAGGGCAGCAGGAAGCAGAGGCCTGGCATTCACATTTCCCCGAGAAATACCACCACTTATCCCCAAAGCACCACTCCCTGGTCCTCCCTCCCAGCACAGTGGACACTGGGGACAAATAGGCAGCATTGCGTCGTAGCCTCTGGCCTAGAGGAAGGCCATCCTGCTGACCTGTCACCTCCTTGCCTAAGGGCTTTCAAGGGCTTGTGGTCCCTTGCAGGCCACACTCGGTCCTGCTGTCCCCTGGTTCGAAAATGGGGTGGCTGCTCAGGGACCTGCAGGTCCTGGCTCAGAGCTATCTTTGATGAGAGAGGGTGACTGGGGTGGGTCCCCACGGGATGAATACCCTGCAGGAAGTGCCCAGATACGTGTAACGCAGAGCCAGCGCACACACCTCCCTCCCGCTGCAGGATGTGGTGCAGGTGCACGATGTCCAGGATGGTCTCCAGCTGCTGCTCCGAGTAACCCTTGCGGCGCATGTCCTCCACTGAGTCCGGGTAGATGACCTGGTCTCGCAATGAGCCCACAGACATGTAGGGCCTGTGGGGGCAGGCAGGGGCTGTCACCTTGAGCTCTGGCTGCCGCCGGGCCTCCCAGGTGGTAGACACATATGCTGCCGTGCACCCACACATGACACATGCAAACACACCCACATGCACACATGGCACACGTGCACCCAGCTGCACAGCCCGGGGGTAGGCCAAGCACACCCCACCTCTGGGGGATGTAGAACATGCGCTGTGGAGGGGGCTTGTAGAGAACGCCACCGTAAGTGGGCCACAGCCCGCCCAGGATCCGGAAGAGCGAGCTCTTGCCGCAGCCGTTGGGGCCTGTGATGAGCAGGTGCATGCCCTCTTCCACCTGCGGAAGGGCAGCACCAAGGCCAGGGGTTGTTTTTAAATATTAATTAATTAATTAATTAATTTTTAGGGGGTTTTGTTTTTTTTTTGGTACCGGGAATTGAACTTGGGTCCTTGCGCTTGCGTAGCAGGCAGTGAAACCACTGAGCTAAATCCCTGGCCCAATTTTTAGTTTTTTGAGACAAGGTCTCACTATGCAGTCCAGGCTGGCCCTGAACTTGCTATGTAGCCCTTGCTGGCCTGGAATTCCTATTGGTCCTCCTGCCTCAGCCTCCTGAGTGCTGGGATGATAGGCGTGCACCACCACACCCAGCTTGGATCTTCTGGCAAGGGATGGCAGGGCCACAGGGACGGGTCCTGTGTTCGGCGTCCCAACTGCATACCTGGCTCAGGGGGCTGGCACATGAATTCGACCTGGTTCCAACACTAAGGCCCGACATGTCCAGGGAGCCCAGGGCAGGCACTGTGGAACGGATGGGTGTGTCCCAAGACAGCCGGCGCCCTCCCACGTCTGCTTGCCTCCCACCCCACTGGGAATCCCAGCACAACTCGGTCCCTACAGGATGCCAGGCGCTGTCCTCTCTGCCAGGTTCCGTGTAGCACCTGTGCCCAGGGCAGAGTGTGGCCAGGCATCCTGGGGCAGAGGTTGCCCCAGCACTGCCAGGGCCAGTGCCCTTCATCCCTTCCCTCTTTATCTATGAAAGCCACAGATAATGCCCCTGGGAACTGGCTCCTGACAAGGGCCTTTGGTTCACCCCGGGCAGTGCCATGGGTTGGACTGTGTCCCCAAGCTCATACACTGGTGTCTTAAGCCCCAGTTGCTCAGGGCGTGACCCTATTTGGAAACAGGATCATCATAGATTTAACTAGTTAAAAGAACTTGAAGTGATAGTGGCATAGCCCCCCATGAAACACAACCGGTGTCCCTAGAAAAAGGGGACCTTGGGCCGGGGATTTAGCTCAGTGGTTTCGCCGCCTGCTGCGCAAGCGCAAGAACCCGAGTTTGATCTCTGGTACCAAAAAAAAAAAAAAAAAGAAAAAAAGAAAAAGGGGACCTTTAGCTGGGCATGGTGGTGCAGACCTGTCATCCCAGCACTCTGGGAGGCTGAGGCAGGAGGACCTTAAATTCCAGCCCAGCCTGGTTAACGTAGTGACTTAGTGAGACCCTGTCTCAAAATAAAACGAAAAAGGGCTGTGTATGGAGCTCAGTGAGAAGACCTGGGTTCAACCCTTAGCACTGCAACATAACAACAAAAGGGGTGAGGGGCTTTGCACACAGAGGGAGAACGAGACACAAGGACAGAGGCGGGACCATACCACGGATGCCATGGATCACCAAGGGTCACTTGCAGCAGACCAGGGCCCCTGGGAAGAGCCCCTCCTGCCCACACCATGGTGTGGATTTCCGGCCCTGGAGTGGGACAGTGTGTTCTACCTGGGTCAGAGTCACAGGACCCCATGGGCCCCCCCCCGCCCCTTCTCTCCTGCCACTCCCCACCCTGCTCCCCCACTCCACAGGGCCTCGATGGCCTGCCTCCAGGGACACGTGGGTCACACCCCACACCTTCCTCCCCTCCTGCCTACCTCCTGCTGGGCTGTGGTGCCTACCCAGAAGGCTCTCACTGGGGACCTTTGTAACACTCTGGTGCCCCAGTGTGGGGCCGCACGAAGGGCAGAGCCCCTGCTTTATCTCTGGATTCCAGTACCCAGCCCAGAGTTCAAAGTATATGGGATAAGGTGGCGCATGCCTGTCTGTCATCTCACTACTTCAGAGGCTGAGGCAGGAGGATCGCTGCAAGGTCAGCCAGCACTGCCTAGGCTACACAGTGAGTTCAAGGCCAGTCTGAACAACATAGTGAGTCCGTGTCTCAAAACGAAAACCAAAATAACAAAAACAAAAACAAACCTATTTTGTACAAAATTGCTTTTCCAAACTGCAGGTATGCTGGGTCCACTCTGCATTAACACACGCTGTGCTCTAGCCTGTCTCTCACATGACTGGCACAGCACTGTCTTGGTTTCTCTCCCTGAGCCTTTGACCTGCCCTCCTGTAGCCCGGATGCTCTTGCCCCCAATTTCTGAGTCTCCAGCTGCAGTGTGTCTTTTTCCCTCTCTGGTACTCAGCCTTATCGCAGGCCTGTCTGGGGAGCATCCAGCGACCCGAACCCTCTCCTTGTGCCCGCAGGGCTAGGAATGCTCCCAGGGACAGCTCTGTGTCCACCACAGACCTTGCACCAGGCTTCCTGGAGTGGACAGGCAGAGCCCTGGGCTGGACACTAGAGGGGCCCAGGTGGGGACAGTGGCAGTGTTGTCTCCCACAGCTGGAGGGGGACCAGAGCCCCAGGTCCGGCCTACTCAGGAGGGTGGGGAGCTGATGGCAATTGGGCCAGCAAACGTGGGTAACCTTTGGCTGGTCCTGGCAATCACGAGCCTCTTCATCAGCCCTGACTCTATTGCCCCCAGGATGCACCGTCAGTTGTCCCTCCCCTTGCCCTTGGACCATCTGCCACGCAGATCTGGGGGCAATGGCTATTGGCAGCAGGGCCAGGCGAGAAGCCAAGGACAAGGCTTGAAGATGCAGGTGTCTCCGGCCAAGGCACCCCGGCCCCGTCCCACCCCACCTACCCGGATGTTGAGGCTGGACACCACCACCTCTCCCGTGGGTGTGATGATGGGGATGTTCTCGCAGATGATATCCTGCTCCACGTCCACCACCTGGCCTGCAGGGGAAGGTGAGGGGGGAGAGGGGCAGTGTCCATGGACCCCTGGGCCCTGGGAAACAGCCTGGCCTCCAGGAGCTGAGCCCAGGGTACCAGGCTGGGCCCTGGGCTGTCCCGAGCCCCAAGTCTATTGCTCGGCAGCCCTCCCACCTGGCCCCCTCTTAAAGGCAACTCCAGGCTGGGCAAAGCGGCACAAAGCCTATCATCCCAGCCCTTGGGAGGCTGAGGCAAGAGGATTGCCGTGGGTTTGAGGCCAGCCTGAACCTCCATAGTGAGACCCTGTCTCAACAAAAACCAAACCAAATAAAAACAAAAGGCAGCAGGGCGTGCTGGCACGTCTGTAGTTCTAGCACTCAGGAGGCTGAGGCAGGAGGATTGCCGTGAGTTCAAGGTCAGCCTGGGCTACATAGTGAGTTCAAGGCCAGCCTGAACTATATAGTGAGACCCTGCCTCAAAAACAAAAAATGGGGAGTGGGGATTTAGCTCAGTGGTTTCACTGCTTGCTGTGCAAGCGCAAGGACCCGAGTTCGATCCCCAGTTCCAAAAAAACCAAAACAAAACAAAACAAAAAAACGGGGCCGAGGATTTAGCTCAGTGGTGCTGCTGCCTGCCTCGCAAGCACAAGGTCCAGAGTTCAATCTCTGGTATCGCAAAAAAAAAAAAAAAAAAAAAAGCTAGAAGAAAAAACAAAAACAAAAGGCAGCCCCCATGCCAGACCCATCTGTCACACTCTGCTGACTTGCATGTAGTGGCAGCTGGCTGGACTCCCCCTCTGTGGCTCGCCTCAAGTCCTTAGCGACTGGGCTGGGCACAGGCAGAGGCACCTACCTCGGATGCGCAGGGGCCCCTCCAGATGGACGCCAGAGCGCACCACGGCCCCTGCCCCCGTCTGGGCGTCCTCCGGCTCCCCTGGCCGCTTGAAGTGACAGTGCTGGACGTCTTCGAACACCTGAAACATCTCATGCACGCGTGCTGTGTAGCCGGCCAGCTCCGTCACCTCCTTGTAGGATGACATGATGCGCTCCGTGGCATCAGCTGCGGCCGTGAGCAGGTTGCGTGCGATGGTGAAGGCCTCCGTGCGCTCGCTCACCAGCTCCTCCTCCCGCATCTCCAAGGCGGCCCTCTTCTCTGCTTCCGAGTCTGCACAGGGACATGGGAGGTCACGGGGCCACGCCAAAGAGGACACCTGACCCACCTCCAGCCACCAAGGGGAGGCAACCCTCGTCTTAGCCTAGTCACAATGGCTAGCACCAAGTTCACAAAATCTGCACACCTGGAATCCCAGCACTCTGGAGGCTGAGGTAGGAGGATTGCCACAAGTTTGAGGCCAGCCTGGGCCACATAGTGAGTTCAAGCTCAGCCTGGACTACATAGCGAGACCTTGTCTCAAAAAAACACACATACACATACATAAAACCCCACAAAAAACAACAAACGTAAACAAAAAAAACCAACAAGTGTTCACAAGGTTGTAGGGCAAAAGGAACCCTTCTCCATTGTTGGTGGGAGTGTAAAGTAGTGCAGCCACTGTGGAGATTCCTCAAAAAACTAAAAGTAGAAATTCCATATTACCCAGCTGTTCCCCATCTAGGTGTCTTTCCAAAAGAGTTAGAGCCATCATATTACCATGATCCATGCACACCCATGTTCATAGCAGCACAGCTCATAATAGCTACATCTTGGAAGTGGCCTATGAATGGATCCACAGATGAACAGATAAAGAAAATTTGGTATTTATACCCAATGGAGAAATACTCTGCCATAAAAAAGGATAAACTTCAGTCATTGGTAGGAAAATGGATGCACTTTGAGGTTAATTATCACATTGTTTCTCCTGTATGAGAAACCCAACACACATAAAAAAAGAGGAAAATAAAGGAGAGATGGTAGATAGGTGCCAATCATTTCTGAAATTTTTATAATGTTGAATTATCATCTAGTCCAAGAGAAACCAAGGCTCTGATACAGGGATTTTTAAAAAGAGCAGTTTAAATAATCCTTAATTGTATATTGGGCTAGTCAGCCCTTAACAGCTGTCCCTTTACTAATGTACATTTTAAAAATTTTTTTGGTTTTTTGAAACAAGGTCTCACTATGTAGTTCAGGCTGGCTTTGAACTCACAGCAATCCTCCTCGCTCAGCCTCCTGAGTCCTGGGTTGACAGGTGCGTGCCACCTATGCCCAGCTTGAACCTTAAGCTTTAAATTATGTTTACTGCTAGAAGATTTAATGTACTTACTAAAACCAATACAAAGGCACAGTTTTTTTTTTTTTTTCGTACTGGGGGTCGAACTCGGGACCTTGCACTTGTGAGGCAGGCGGCAGAACCACTGAGCTAAATTCCTGGCCTTCTTTTTTTTTGTACTGGGGATCGAACTCAGGACCTTGTGCTTACAAGGCAGGTGCTGACAAAGGTACATTTCTAAGAGAAAGTTAGAGATAATCTGAGTGCAATGAAAAGACAAGAAAATCTAGAGGAGATAAGAGTTTGGAAGAATTTATGTCAAAACAACAGGGTTTGTTTAAATTATGAGAACCAAATAAACCTACATCTTATAGTGTTTCTACGGTTCAGAAAGAATATTTAACTTTATTATCAGGCAACACATATTTTCCTGCATTTCCCAGTATAGCGTGGGAAGCATCCTTATTAGTCCTTTTCATATACTGCTCTAAGCAGTTGTGTGACTCACATTCTAAGCTCAGAACATCTTAATCTGACCAGAGCCACTGGGCAATTTCTTGTGGTCTGGGAGTTAAAACGACTTCAAAAAACTAGGCGCTGTGGCGCACGCCTGTCATCCCAGCACTCGGGAGGCTGAGGCAAGAGGATTGATGTCAGCTCAAGGCCAGCCTGGGCTACATAGTGAGACCCTGTCTCAGAAAACAAAACCAAAAAACTACAAAAAATGTGATCTAGGTTTTTTTTTAAGCAATGTCGTTACATTTCTCAGGGATGAGTCTAAGTGGAAAATCCAGGGCCAACCTGTATTTTAGCCTTCTATACTGGATATAGCATCTGTCTATGTTATATTATCTGTTATTTCTTCAAATTTCCAAGGCCGCATGATAAATCATCAGAGAACCTGTGTGGGTATAAAAGTAGGATATGAACCCGCTTCCTGGATGCATACGTGTGTGCACACACACAGGAGCGTGACTCCACCCCACACTGGGATAGGACAGAAGAACTAAAGATTGGGGAAAGGAGACAAGGAAATTGTAATTATTTTTCTGTACTTTTTGAGACAGGGTCTTGCTGTGCAGTTCAGGCCGGCCTCGGATTTCCAGAAATCCTCCTGCCTCAGCCTCCTGAGTGTTGGGATTATAGGTGTGCACTCCACACCCGGCCTAAATTGTAATTTTTAAAATACACCTTCAAGATGTAATCAAGTTACACAAGGTCACAGTGCCCTTTCCACCCTAGGCCTACTCCTCCACCCCCACCCCACCGGGCTCCTCACTGCTAAATTCCCGAGAGTCTTAAAGCTACAAGAAGTGCATCAATTTGGCCTGTGTTTTCCTTTGGATACTCTAAGCCTGCAGGGTTCTCTCTCAGAGTAACTGGGAACCACAGCTCCACATGTACACGGCTTGGCTTTTCTGCTTTAGCCCACTAATGAGTACCCTGACCTTCAGGAGACACACTGGCTAAATGACAGATGGCTCCCGGAAGGAAGCACTGAGACCGCCCGTCCTGAGGTTTCCCCAAGACTGCACAAATCTCCTGGGGTGGCCATAATGCCCCTCACCTCTGAGTGCCCAGCTTCTTTCGGAGCATAGGTTTCTTTCTCTTTCTTTTGAGACAGAATCCCGCTGTGTAACCCAGGCTGGCCTGGAACTCCTAGTGATCCTCCTGCCTCAGCCTCCCAAATGCACCAACATGCCTGGCAAGTCCTGCAAGTTTTTTCTGTGAGGAGGCAAGAACCTACCAGGGGCGAGGTGAGGTTCCCTTGTCTTCTTTGGTGGACTTCTTCAAACCCCATCCAGTGATAACATCATTCACAAAAACGAACCCCGAGGGGCTTCCAGGTCGATGTGTAACAGCTAAAACTCTAGAAGTCTCAGAAGAAAACAGGGCTGAGCTCTAGGACCTGTGGTACGGCAACAGCACTGGGAAGTCTAAAGAAAACCAGATGAATCGCACTTCATCGAGCCTCAACACTTTCGGGTCCCAAAGCACATCCCAAGGGAGGGAAAAGATGAGAGGGACTGTGAGAAAAGATCCATAAATCGCACACCTGGAGGAGTGGACAAGTAGTAGCTAGAATACATAAAGGGCTCCCTAACTTGATGAGAGGGACATGCACCCCCGTCCAGCAGTGGTAAACAGTCAGAACAGACCTTGACAAAGAAGAGATACAGCTGGGCATGGTGGCACACGCCTGCCATGCCAGCACTTGGGAGGCTGAGGCAGGAGGATCGCCATGATTTCCAGGCCACCCTGGGCTACACAGTGGGATCCTGTCTCAAAAAATTAAAAACAAGAACAACAAAGACCAAATGGCCAATAAACTCATGAGCAGATGTTGAACACCATCAGTCACTCAGGAAATGCAAATCAATCCCTCAGCCCACAGGGAGCAGGAGACTCATAGCCATGGCTACATGGATAAAAGGGAGCAGCTGCTTCAAAAACAGCCTGGCAGTTCCTCACAAAGCCAATGCAGAGCAACACAAGCCTAGAATTCCCTCCTAGCCGCATGCCCAGGAGAAACCTGGCCCAACCTCCAGCAGCACTGTCCACCATGGCCTACAGGGTCAACAGCCGCCACATGCCCAGATGGATGGATAGATGGGTGGGTGGATGGGTGGATGAGTGGGTGGATGGATGGATGGACAAATGGATGGATGGATGGACAGATAGATGGATGCATACAGACAAAGATGGATGGATGGATAAAGATCAGAGATGGATGGATAGATGAAGACCACGGATGGACAAACGGATGGTTAAAGATGGGGATGGATGCATGGATGGATGGGTAAAGACGGTGGGGAGAGCGAAGTGGCAGGCAATGTGTGTGGCATATACCAAGCTCTACACAGGACGGAAGGTTCTCCCACCCAAAAAGCAAGGGCTTCCTGACTCATCTGCCAGCACAAGGCACTCTGGACATGATTTTTCTCAATGAAAGGAGCTGGGCACAAAAGGGCACACAGCAGGATTCCATTCCTCTGAGATGCCCTCAAGACACAAACCCAGAGACAGAAAATGTGTTAGTGACTGCCAGGGCCAGGTGAGGGGGTACTGGGAAGTGACTCACAATGGCTCTGCAGTTTCTTTCTTTCTTTCTTTCTTTTTTTTTTTTGGTACCGGGGATCGAACTCAGGTCCTTGTGCTTGCGCAGCAGGTGGCGAAACCACTGAGCTAAATCCCTGGCCCTGCAGTTTCTTTTTGGGGTGTAAAAAATGTTCTAGATTAAGATAATGGTGATGGCCAGATATAGTGTTGCATGTCTATAATCCCAGCTACTTGGGAGGCTGAGGTAGGAGGATCCCGAGTTTGAGGCTAGCCTGGGCAACTTGGCAAGTCTCTGGGTTTAATTCTCAGTACAAGAAAGAAAGAAAGAAAGAAGGAAAGAAGAAAAGAGAAAAGAAAAGAAAAAGATAGTGGCGATGAATGCCCAACTCTGAATATATTAAAAACCACTGAATTGTACATTTTAAGAGGCTGAATTTTATGGTCAGCTAATCACTTTCAATTACACTGATTCAAGCTGGGCATGATGGCACTTGTCTGTTATCCCAGCACTCAGGAGGCTGAGCCAGGAGGATCACAGCAAATTCGAGGCTAGCCTGGGCAAGCGAGCAAGACTCTGTCTCAAAATACAAAGTAAAAATAAATACAGTAAATAAATGGCTGGGCAGCTAGCCTGGCCTCCAGAGTGAGTTCAAGGCCAGTCTGGACTACGTAGTGAGACCCTGCCTCAAAAAACAAACAAAAAATTCAAATTTGATGTGGCTGGATATTGGCAAATGGCACAGTGAGTGGGAAGAACACTAATACTCCTCAGTGGAATATTGGAAGGACTCACAAGTCTCAGCAGGACATACAGAAACACAGCTTAAGCACTGTAGCAAAACTGCAGGCTACCAAGAAAGCAGATGGGAAAGGTACCCAGGGGAAGAACCAAGATGATAAGACTTTCCTACAGCTAGCGCTGGAGCCACAAGACAATGTGATATTATTGTCACAGGGCTGACAGAAATTAACCATCCTCAAAAAGAAAAAAAGGGCCAGGGATTTAGCTCAGTGGTTCTGCCGCCTGCTGCGCAAGTGCAAGGACCCGAGTTCGATCCCCGGTACCAAAAAACAAAATGAAAAAACAAAACAAAACAAGAAATTAACCATCCTCCTACAGTCCCCCCGCCCCTGGCTTTTTAATCCCTGAGACAGTGTCTCGCTATGTAGTCCAGGCTGGCCTTGAATTCACTATGTAGCCCAGGCTGGCCTCAAACTCGCATGGATCCTCCCGCCTCAGCCTCCCAAGTGCTGTGATCACAGGCATCACATGCCAGACTCTCAACCTAACTTTAGCTCAGGAATGAAGGTGAAATAGTGACATTTTCCGACAACAAAATAATTGGGAGTGTCCTATAACAAAACCCCTGAAGCCCTTGTCTGTCTAGAAGTAGAAAACAGAACACAGAGAGGACTAGGGTGTAGGGATGGGGCTCTGAGCAGGGAAACCATACACACACAGGTGAGTTTACACACTCAGCCACTGGATTAAAGCAATACCTAAGGATAAAAATCACATGAGGCCGGGTGTGGTGGCACAACCTGTCATTCCAGCACTTGGAAGGCTGAGGCAGGGGGAGCAACACAAGTTCAAGGACAGCCTGGACTACATAGCAAGACCCCATTTCAAAGGAAAAAAAAAACCATGTGAGCCAGATGTGGTACATGCCTGGAATTCCAACACTCTGGGAGGCTGAGGCAGGAGGATTGCAAATTTGAGCCCAGCTTGGGCAACTTTGTGACTTATGCAAGACCCTCTCTCAAAAAGATAAATAAATAAATAAATAAATAAATAAATAAATAAATAAATAGAGCTGGGGATGTAGCACAGCACAATGGCACTGGATTCAATCCCTAGAACTGCAAAAATAAATAAAATAACACAAAAACCACTGAGGACCAGGGATGTAGCTCAGTGGTGCCGCCGCCTGCCTGGCAAGTGCAAGGTCCTGAGTTCGATCCCTGTATCCAAAACAAAAACAAAAACAGAAAAACCATGTAAAAGCTACCTTCATGCTGGCCTGACAGACATGCATAACAAGGCCCAGGAGGAAGGGAGCTGCTGGTCTTTAAGAATGCCTGGTGAAAAAGACTCTAGATTTGATAACCAAATTCAGTGCTATAGCTGGATACAAGGTCAACACTCAAAAATCAATAGCCTTAAAAAAAAATCAATAGCCTTCCTGTACACAAATAACAAACTCACTGAGAGAAATTAGAGAAACAATCCCTTTCACAATAACATCCAAAAAAATGAAATATCTAGGAATCAATCTAACAGAGGGAGTAAAAGACCTCTACACTGAAAACTACAGTACTCTGAGAAAGGAGATCAAAGAGGGTATCCGAAAATGGAGGGCCGAGATTTAGCTCAGTGGTTCTACTGCCTGCCTCGAAAGCGCAAGGTCCCTAGTCTGATCCCCAGTACCAAAAAAAAAGAAAAAAAATGTTCAACATCATTGATCATTCATGAAATGCAAATTAAAACAATGCTGAGATTCCATCTCACTCCAGAAAGAATGGAACCCTTCTCCACTGTTGGTGGGAGTGCAGACTGGTGCAACCACTGTGGAAATCAGTGTGGAGATACCTCAAAGAACTAAAACGAGGGGTTCCATTTGACCCAGCTATTCCCCTTCTTGGCATCTTCTTCAAAGAATTAAAAGCATCATACCACAGCAATATATGCACCCCCATGTTTATAGTAGCACAGTTCGTAATAGCTAAATCTTGGAAACAGCTCAAATGCCCATCAACCGATGAATGGATAAAGAAGGTGTTTATTTTTTTTTAATATAATGGAGCACTACTCTGGCATAAAGAAGGATGAGCTTCAGACATTTCTAGCTAAATGGATGCACCTTGAGACCATACTCTTAAGTGAAATAAATCAGACACATATGTTTAAATACCGCATTGTTTCTCTGGTGTGAGAAACCGAGTGGAAATAAGGACTGAGATGTATAATGAGATTGGGAAATAGGAAGAAAATGTTCAAATGGGAATGGGAACAAGGCAGGGGGGAGAAAGGAAGGAAGGGACAAAAAAAGTGAAAATAGAAGGAAAATATGGAAACAAACCTTTTGTACATGAGGGGATGGGGCGTGAGGGGAGGGGGAAATGGGGAAAAAGAGGCGGGAGGTACCATGTAGAGGTGCAAATTCCCTACGATGAGTGTTAGCATTTTATATGCCTAAAGTGCACCAATACATGTTTTGTTATTAAAAAAAAAAAAAGAATGCACAATGACCTTTGCAAAGGTGACCATGGAAAGACTGGAAATAGACTGAATCTGCTGCAAAGCAGTGGAGTGACCAATGGGAACAAAGGTGACCCCACTGTCCCTAAACAATGGATAGGAGCAGCCTCACCTCCCACCAAAGGCTTTAGGAGGGAAAAGCAAGGCCAGGCCATGAAGGGCTCACCCTGCAGCTCCCCACTTCCTCCCAGGACAAAGCTACCAAGGGCCAGGGTGGCAGGGAAGGCGGGGAGCCCGCTTCCAGTAATGCCCGGGACGCTGCTTCAGGTGACGTGAAGGATGCTTGCAGGCAGGCTGCACTCTCACCTGACTCCGAGTAACCAGTGGCAGTGATGATGGGGACGGCCACCATGAGCAGGCCCGAGGCACTCCACACGTACTTCATGAGGAACTGCTCGAGCATGACATACCACAGGCGCTCCAGCAGGATGACATTGATCTGCGCCGCCAGGGCCCGGTAGCAGTCCTGCAGCAGTGCCAGCTCCACCTGCCCGAGGGAGGGCAACACATGCTGCTCATGCTCGCCGTGCCATCTGACGACCAGGACTGGGCCATGCACAGAGGGGCTTACACCTGGGGAGGGGTTCCTGTCCTCGTTCCCTCTACCTCTCTAATAGGGATGATCACCATCCCACTTTTTTTTTGAGACAGGGTCTCGCTGGCCTTGAACTCACAGCAATCCTCCTGCCTCAGTCTCCTGAGTGCTGGGATGACAGATGCACACTATGACACCTGGCTCACTGTTCCCCCTCTTTATACCTTGGCAGCTTCTGCATGGAGGCTCAGGGCAGTCACCTTTCTGTCCTTGCTGAGTCCATGTCTTGGGGCTCCTTCGAGGGCTCCTCCTGCCCCTGCTCCCAGGCCTTGCCCAATCTGTGGATCCTTGGCTTGGATTTTTCTACCTTACACTATGCAAAGGGCGGCAAGGAGAGCAGAAGGCGCTGTCTACAGCTCTGCCTGCCCAGGCCCAATCTCTCACTGCTTTCCCTTGGCTGCTGTCCGCGGGAAGCTTGTACTGTTTTCCCGAGGAAGCCGGGATTCCCCTTCCACACCACCAGGCGTCCCCTGGCCTCGCTGCCGGAAGGGGACAGGTGTCTCTCAAAGGAGGAGGGGCAGCAGTGGTCAGACAGGCAGGAGAGGCCAGAGGTGTGGGTAGTGCTTGTGGCATGGTGGCTGTGGGGTCCGGGGGTCCCCCCACACCTGCCCAGCTCAGCACCACTTGCCACTGTCATGTCCTCTGGAGGACACTGGAGCCCAGAGACAGAGTGACCTGCCCAAGCTTGCACTGCCTGGAGGTAGTGAGCACGGCAGGAATGTGGGCCACACTGGTGGGGTTGCTAGGGCCGGGTCCTGGTAAAGGGCCACTTTGACTGATTAAGAAAGGGTTACTTTGTTCTCTGCAAGAGGTTGCATGCAGTGTGGATTTCAATAAGCAGCCTGGCCAGAGGGGATGGCACACACCTGTTATCCCAGCACTCCAGAGGCTGAGGCAGGAGAGTTGCCGAGTTTGGGGCCAGCCTGGACTACATGGCAAAACCCTGTCTCAAAAAACAAACAAAAATAAGCAGCTTCACTGAACGCCTACAGAGAAGAGACTACTCCACTGTCTGCCCTAACCTATTGGTCTGTGCCTAGGTGGTGTCCGGGGGATATCCGCCAGTGGGTCACATGCCTGCACAGCAAGGGACATCAAGCCACCTGTTGGGGCTGTCACCCCACAAGGGAGGCCACACAGACAGGCCCCAGGATGGACCTGAGCCCTCTGCCTTGGCAAGCGAATCTCTTGGTGAACCTGCATTTCCCACAGCTGGCTGAGAACGGTGGGCTCTGCCCAGGCCCCTGCCCCTGCCCTTGTAGCAAGCGCATCCCCCTGTGAGTGCCCTGGAAGCTGGGGTTGTGCTGGGAGTGGCAGGAGTGCCAGCCAAGGCTGTGATGGAGCTTCGGGACCGTGCCAAGTGTCTCTCTGGAGGCCACAGCCACCTGCCAAGCCCTGCAGCCTGGGTGGAAAAAGAGAGTGCAGAGGGGCACTGCCTAGAGCCACACTTTTCCTCCTAATCTGAAGCTTGGCTAAGTCCCAGATGTCCTTTGTGTGCTCAGAGGTCAGCCTTGCTTTAAAAATCAGACAGGCAAGCCTGCTTCTCCAGGACCCAAGGTACCGTACCAGGGCAAGAGGCTGCCCGGCCTTCAAGAGACCATTGGCCCCTCCCCCCAGCATTCAGGGAACTGAAACTGGAGTTGCGGAGGGCACAGCCCCAGGGAGCTGCGGCCCCAGGCATGAGGAAGAGGTGGGGCGTCCTCCAGATAAAGGCGGCAATGGCCCCCAGTAACCTTCCCAGCACCCGCCCACCGGCCTGCAGGCCCCAGCCCACCCTGGAGCTGAGCACACAGCCCAGGCGGAAGGGCGGCCACGCTGGGGGCAGGGCGGCCTCGGGGTGGGCAGGAAGTGTGTCCCGCAGCAGTGGCGGCTGAGGCCAGGCAGCTGTGGCCCAGGACCTCGGGAGGAGGCTCAGCTGGTTGGGAGCCGGTTAGGCCCAGGGCTCTGGTGGCCTTGACCCTGAGAGCTGCTATCACTGTGGCCCCTGAGCTGGGCGCTGCTCATTAACCTCCACTTGGGCTGAGTCATGCCTATAATGCCCGCTGCCCACCCAGCCAGCTGTGCCAGATGCTGGCCTTCAAAGGCCCAGGGACACAGCAGAGGCTGAGGCCCGCAGCCCAGCTCCCAGCTGGCTGCAGGAGTGGGGCAAGCCGGAGCACAGAAGCAGAAGTGACCTGGAGCTTGGGGCACCCACCTGGGCCACTTCTCCATTCCCACTGTCCCCAGACACCCGCCCTCCAGGACACCCACCCCTCCAGCCTCGGCCCCAGCCTCCTGGAACCCTGGCCTGTCCCACCTTGTGGCCCCCATAGAAGGCGATCTCCTCTGAGTTAGCCACCACTCGAGAGTGCATGTAGCGCAGCTCCCCCTTACGTCGCGCCTCCTCGGCCACCAGCTCCCCGAACTTGGGTGAGAAGGCCCGCAGCACGTTGGCCGTGAGGAACACCACAAGGCCTGCTATGGCCGAGGGCCAGGCTGTGCCAGCCCCGCGGGAGCGCGCTGCCCTGATGAGAGTGTAGGAGGTCACGGCCACGTCCAGCAGCGGCTTGGTCAGGTTGGAGTAGAGGTGGGCCACGGAGGCGGTAAAGGCAACCAGGTCCTCAGTCAGAGACTGGTCAGGGTTGCGAAGCCGTCCATCCATATTGCTCACGCGGTAGTAGGTCTGCTGGGAGAAGTAGAGACTGTAGGCATGGGTCACCAGACGGCTGCGGAAGGACAGAGCCAGCTGGCCCTCCAGGTAGCGGATGGCGCTGTTAACGAAGGTGGCGGGGAGTGCAATGAGCAGCCACTGCACAAGCTGCCAGCCGAAGGCTCGAGGGTCCTTGCGTACGATGCAACGGGCCAGCCGGCCATCCAGGCGGGCAACATAGACGGAGAGGAAGGTCCGGCTCACCAGCGCGGCAGAGTGCAGTGCCAGCAGCCCGGTCTCCCGGCACAGGACCTGGGGGAACAGCAGCCGCAAGAGTACCAGGAACCGCCTCAGGAACACCCTGTTCATGCCAGCCTTGGTCGCAGTGGGCTCGGGGGCCTCCTGTAGGGACTCCCCGGCTGGGCCCTGAGGACCTCTGGCCGGGGTCATGCACTGGCGCACCAGAGGGTAGAGTTTGTGGGCTCCATAGGCTGTCAGCGCCAAGACCACAGCTGTGCGCCTCAGTGTGGTCACCCGCGAGGGCCGTGGGGTGGAGAGCACCGGCATGTCACCCGGTGCCCAAGGCCGCGGCAGCAGAAGCAGCAGCAGCAGCAGCGGTGGCGGCGATGGCGGAGGCAGGTGCTAGAAGGGCTGTTGCTCTGACCCGAGACTCGTTGTCTAGGCAACTGGAAACCTTGCAGTGGTCCCTGAGACTGTCGCTTTAGGCCCCTGGGGTGGGGATGGGGCACCTGGCGCGGTGGGCTCAGGGCCCTCCAGGGTCGTGGCCTCTTCAGGCAGCCCAGCTGCAGGAACTTGGCTTCTCTGTCCCCTAGCCCCTGAGGTCAGAGCCTCCAGAGGTCTCGGGCAGAGAGGGCGTCCTTCCCTCCTCCTCCCCCCACCGGCGGCGCCCCTCCCCGGGGCACCGGGCGCGTCCGTAGCCTGGCTCAAGCAACAGTGACTCCACCACCCGCCCAGATTCCCCACCCATCCAGCCCTAACCGAGGGAGCCAGGGAAGGGGAGGAGGTGGAGGAGGTGCGGGAGGCGAGTCCGGGCACCGGACGCCCCACCCCGTTCTCGCCCCACCCCCAACCACAGAGACTAGGGCCCAGCACGTGGGCTAGAGAAGCGGCTCCGGCCTTCTCCAAAGCTCCGCCCCACCCCGCCCCTGCGCCCCGGGAACGCTGGAGACGCCGCCGCGGGCCGCGAAACGACGCTTCCTCCCAGGCTCTAGGAGCAAGGCCCTCGGCTCGGGGGCGGGACGGAAGCAGCCGTGGGCGGAGCTGCCAGGGTGGGCGGAGCTGCCAGGGTGGGCGGGCGGGGCCCGGCGGCGCTTCCTGTTTCCGGCCGTGGGGTAAGGGGCGGGGCCGTGGCTGTGGTGGGAGAGTTTGGTGTGTGTGGCTGGGCGTTCGCTGTGACTGTGAGAACCTCGGTGAGCAGGGTCCTTGCGCCAGCCTGGGACCGGGGCTACCGGGGCCGCCGAGCTTCTCCCGGCTCTGGAAGAGGAATGAGCATTGCGGAGGGAATGGGGCTCTGAGGAGTCTCTTGGCTCGGGGCCGACGGGCGAGTGCGGGCCAGGCGGGGCCCGACCGAGGGAAATAGGGGCTGCGGCGGCGGGGACGAGGGCAGCCGGGCGCAGGGCGGCCGCGGGGGCGAGACGGTGGCGAAGGGCACCCTGAGGCGTAGCGGCGTGAGCCCTGGGGGAGGACGTGCCGAGCCGCAGCCACTAGGGGCCCCTGGTGCCTCGCGCGCACCCCTCGAGTTTGGGGGGCGCGGGGGCCCGCTGGGGCTGCCGCGAGGACTTGCGGTGGCTTCAGAGAAGACCCGCTGTTTCGAGAACTTTTTCGGGACGAGGCCTCGAGGTGCTCCGTGCAGACCTGTATTTGCTCTTGGCCCGGGCTCCTGCCCTCTAGGAGTCGCTCTTTCGGGCAGCTGGGAGGCACCCGAGGCCTCAAGCCCATCCGAGGCAGGAGGAGCAATCCGGAGGTTTTACGCTCCCGAAAACAGCTGCAGAGGAGGCTGCTGGGCTTTTTGTGCCTGCCGCAAGGGCTCAGGAGGGGCAGTGATGGAGAACGGTGGTCTCTGAAACCCTGGGTCGCCGGGGCGGCTGTAGGAGGGCTTTGCAGAGCGCCCAGCTCCTGCACTAGAGCACGCTTGCCCGAGCTGGGCGCCTGATGGGAGCTCGTGTGCTTTTGTCGGTGCAAGATGTCTTCTTACTCAAACAGGCCTCAGGAGTCTCCTGGACATGTTCACACCCACGCTGGAGGGGGCATAACCATTCCAGCAGACAAGTTTGGGGGCTGTTGGCCGAAAGGCCCAGCTTAGCGGGGGATTTGGAGCGTCCAGGGTGAAGACTGGCACGCTGGCCTCTTGGAGTGCCTGAACTGGCTGCTCAGCTCTCATGGCCCCTCCTGTACCCTCTGTGCCTTGCCAGGAACAAAGCTCGAAGCTCTCTGGTGGAAACCTGGTCGCCACAGGATGAGTCTGCAGTGGACGGCAGTCGCCACCTTCCTCTATGCAGAGGTCTTCGCAGTGTTATTCCTCTGCATTCCCTTCATTTCGCCCAGAAGGTACGGAGTGGAGGGAGAGGGAGCCCTGTGACCTGTGCGTGTGTAGAGCCCTGGGACCCTGGCACTGGGGCCAGGTGGAAACAGGTAGAACCTGTCCGGAGTGGGGCGGCAGGGGGATGCTTTTGACTGCCTCCTCACATCTTGCTGAGCTTCCTTCCTGTGCTCCCTGCCTTCTGGTCTCCAGAAGGACTGGAAAGGGTGCTTCTCTGTTCTGGAGGCCACGCCCTCCCCGGCCTTGGGCCCAGCTGCGTGGGATGGGATGGCCCTGGGCTCTGAACACTACATTGTTGCTGGTTGGCTGACTTCTGCCCTCCTAACCAGCTTGTTTCTTGCGCAGTGGCCTCGTGAGCATTACTCAGCCTAGAAGGATGAGACCAGAGGACCTGGTAAAAGTTAATTGGAGGTTAATTTTTTAATTATACATAGACATGAACACATTATCCCTGTTTAAACTAGAATGTTACAGATAAGGCTAAATTGCCACAGATATGTTTAAAAACGTTTTAAATGAAAAGCGCAGACCCCCCCCCCCATGATACCTCAGGAGTAGTCTTGCAGAAGAGCCAGTTTGCCTGTGCAGGGCATGGAGCTTTCTAGGATAAGCAACCAAGTTCCCACATGGAGTCAGTTGGAAAAGGAGAGCACAACAGAGGGAAGGAAGGGGGAATGGAAGAGCAAGACTTGAGACACAAAGTAGATGCCAAGGCAGACGGTGCTGATTGTGAGCCAGCTGTTAACGATGGAATGACTGGCCTCTCCAGCTGTGCCTCTGACATTGAGGTTGCCTTGCTGATTTTCCAGCATGCAAACACTTCTGAGGGCTCTTCCTGGGGTCTGTACTCTGAAGTGTCGATGGAAACGCTGGAAGGTCTGGGGTCCCTTAAAATAACCCAGGGTGGTAGAGGACTAGACAGACCAAGGTGTGCTATATAGGAGGACAGTTCAAAGAAATAGCCTGTGTATGTGACGAACACTTTACTGCAGAGGGAGAAGGACAACAAGTTTCCCCTCGCCACTGTTTTCTCGAGAGTCTCTATCCAGACAGGCACCTTTTTCTGAGACGCTCTGCCACAGAGACTGTAAACTGGGAGACTCACCAGCTGAGGCTGACTGTGTGCGGGCTCCTTGACTATTGGCAAAGGGTTCCAAGCTGCCTCTCCATTCTGCTCAGAGCCGGGCTCCCAGGGATCTGCTTTTTCTTCAGCCTCTCTGCCTTTCATCTTCTCCTTCCCAGATGGCAGAAGATTTTCAAGTCCCGCCTGGTGGAGCTGGTGGTGAGCTACGGCAATACCTTCTTTGTGGTTCTCATCGTCATCCTGGTGTTGCTGCTCCTCGGTAAGTGACCGCACCCCACCCTATGCCATGGGGTCCCTGCTGCAAAGTCCCATCAAGAGTATGGCTGCTGCTTCTCAGTGACAGGCAGGTCTCGCGCCCATCTCTGTCTTGCGTGCGGAAGAGGCTCTCTTCTCTTTGTCCACCAAGTGCTGCTGCTGGCAGGGTCTCGTCCATGAGGCCTGCGCCCTTAGCTTGTGTTCTGGAGGTGGCTCTTTGGGTCTCTCTGGAACAGATGCCAAGAGAAGCCAACTGGCTGGGACTGTGGCCTAAGTAGTGCTGCTCTCCAGTCCCCTAGAAGTAAAGGCTCCGCTCTTGAAGCTAATACAGGCTCTCAGAGGAGAGATAAAACAACCAGGTAGACTGAGTTTGGCTGCAGAGCGGAGCTGTGTAGTGTCCTGGGTATGGATGGGAACACCTAGATGTTGGGCAGCATCTCTTGGGGATAGATCCCGGACCTGGTCATCTAGCTGCATGGTTCTGTGAGCTCCTGCTTTGAGTGCAGACCCCTGGGGTTTGAAGGGTAGACCAGTCAGGGTGGCCCAGGCCGAGGGTGGGGCGAGTGGAGTTTGGCCAGAAGGGGAACGAACGGTTTACAGGAAGGTGACCATGAGGCCTGTTCAAGTCTGCAGGAATCAGTAAAGCTACTGCCTGTTCCTCAGATGTGTGCAGTCTTAGGGTGGTGCGTGATCAGTGTGGCCTCTGTGTAGTGGACAGCAGTCTGTCTCCGAGCTGGGGTGCCGCGTAGAAGTGATGAGGGTGGATGTGGCAGGGCAGGGCACAGAGCCCCACCCACGAGCTGCAGCTTCATGCCTGCCTTGGGCCTGATGAGCTTTGTTCAGGCAGCACTACCTCTGGACAGGCCAGGCACAGTCCACTGGCTCGTAGGTGCACAGGGCAGGGACCAGCTGCCCACGTACCTCACAGGGCCCCAGGGGGAGCCCTTCCCAATCAGCGCTAGCCCTTTGGGCTAGGAGCTCTGCCCCAGGAGAGACCAGGCTTCAGAGTTCTTGAACTGAGTGTGTGGGGTGGGAACCCGGGAGGGGAAGGGCCGTTCTGAGTGTTGTCTTCTCAGGGCCTTGCCCCTTCCCCACGACAGCCATGCGCGTGTCACCTGTTTGCTGGCTTAGCTCACTGGGCCGGAGACACCCTTGCCAAAGCCAGTGGTTGACAAAGCCTTCATTCTTTTATGGGATGGGGTTCTGCCTGGGCCTTCTGGAGAGACAGGCGGCTGTGATTGACTGCGTCCTCCTCACCTGGTGTTAAGCAGCAACGTCTAGAGAGCTTTGCAGTCCTGCAGGTAACAGCCTCAGGTTTTTGCAAATGCAAGGGAGAAGCAATGGGTGTAGTTAGCTAGAGCCTGTGGCCCTGAGAATTGCTGTCGCTGTCATGCCTAGATCAGAGCTGATGGGAAAGTGAAGGTGTTGGGGGCTCGAGGTACCCTTTCCCGATCTCCTCTTGGCCGTCAGCCGAGGTGGCCCATAGGATGCTGGGATTCCTGGAAGTGGGTGACAGTGTAAGAAATCATAGGGTTTTTTTATCTTGCTTTTCTGACTACAAAAATAATGCCTAACTAGCCAGTTGTGATGGCAGATGCTTGTAATCCCAGCACTCAGGAGGATGAGGCAGGAAGGATTACTGTGAGGTCGCCAGCCTGAACTACATAATGAGGCCCTGTTTCAAAACAAATGATAATGCATAGCTATCTTCAAAAATGCAGAAATTGAACAAAGAAAGTTAAAGTCCCTCATAATCTCATGTCTCACAGGCAACCATTGTGAGTACTTTGGGTTTTTTTTTCTTGAGACAAGGTCTCACTATATAGCAGTCTAGGCTGGCCTTGAACTCACTATGGAGCCCAGGCTGGCCTTGAACATGGAGCTCTTCTCCTGCCTCAGCCTTGAATACTTGCTGTGCATTGCAATGTTTACAGCACCAGTATCACATACACACTGTTGTGGGTCCTGCTTTTTCCGCTTTGTGTCCCTAAGGTCTTTTTACAGCAATCTCATTCTCTTTAGTGATTGTATGGCATTCTTTCACGTGGTCACACAGTAGTCTGATTCCCTCCTTCCAGGTGCCTTCGAAGCATTGCACATTGATGCAGTGCTTTTGTGGGATAAATTCATAGGGATGAAATTGCTGGACCCGAGGGTTTCCTAATGCAGAGATGTCAGGAAGGGCAGGCAGATTGTATAATGCGTGATCACCTTGGAAACTAAGACCCTGTCCCAAACCAGAAATTCTTTTTTTTGTGTGTGTGGAACCGGGGATTGAACTCAGAACCTTGCGCTTGTGAGGCAGACGCGGTGACACTGAGCTAATTCTCCAGCCCCCAAACCAGAAATTCTGAACTAAACAATACCCGGACCACTATCTTATTTTTTTTCCCCTAGTATTGGGGATTGAGCCCAGGGTCTTTGCCCTGAGCTGCATCCCGGCCCTTTTGTATTTTTTGTTTTGAGGCAGTGTCTTGCCAAGTTGCCCAGGCTGGGCTCAAACTTAAATCCTCCTGCCTCAGCCTCCCAGAGCGCCGGCAGTATAGGTGTGTGCCACCATGCCCTGCCTTTCTCTTCCTCCAGCTGAGCAGTGCCCCCCGAGCCCCAGACTGGCATCTTGCCTCTCTCACGTGGGGGGTCTGTCAAGAGCCCTTTTTGGGCAAAGATTTGTGTACTGACATAAAAGCTGTCCCAGTTACCGGGCGAAGCAGTAAGTACGTTGTGGTTCCCTTTTGGTGGTTCCAGGGACGTGTTGCTAAACTGAGGCACTGCTTGTGTGATTGTGTGCCCAGAGCCGTGCCAGTCCCTGGGGAGACAGTGAAGATTGCTTCTGTGTTCATGCAGTTTGGGGACAATGGCTAGGAAACACCTGTTGAAGATCGTTTCTGAGACCCGCGTGTGTTCCAAAGTTGCTAACTTGAGGTGACGCGACTGGTCGGGGGCTTAGGTCCGGAGGCAGGGACTTCTCTAGGCTGCTGGGGTGATTGTGTTGTGACAGTCTTTCCCTTTCTATATTTCTGATAAGTTGAACTTTGAGTGAGCCTGTTTTTTTTCTAATCCAGATAAAAACCTAAACAACAAAGTCTACCATAAAACATAGGAATGAAAGCCCTTGCCTGAAACACATAAGACCCTCAGCTTGCCAGTGGGGTGGCTGGTGGCCCAGCTTGGGGGCACCACGGGAAAGGCGCTGTGGCTGTGGCAAGCTTGTGGCCGGCTAGACTAGGGCAGGCATCGCCGGAGACGGAGTGGGGTGAGGGTGGAGGTGGAGATAACAGGGTACTGGTGGACAGGGAGGGGAAGCAGCCCGTCCCTACTGCCTCTGCTCCGCCCTGCCACAGATGCCTACCGAGAGACCTGCAAGTACGACGACGTGACCGAGAAGGTGAACTTGCAGAACAACCCCGGCGCCATGGAACACTTCCACATGAAGCTCTTCCGTGCGCAGAGGAACCTCTACATTGCCGGCTTCTCCTTGCTGCTGTCCTTGTGAGTGCCAGGGATGCCTTGGGCTGGCTGGGCCACCCTCTTTGTGTTGTGGGACCCCCAGAGGAGACTGTGGCTCACCACATGTTGCCTTGTCATGTGATGTTTGCATCTTTGGGACCCCACCACCATAGAGGACTGATGGCGCGGGGCTCTATGGGACGGGGTGCTGGCCTGAGAAGCCAGCAGAAGCAGTGCGGCGTGCAGGGCTGAGGTCGACCCTGGCCCATGTGTCAAATATTTCAGGGGTTTGGATGTTTAGAAGCCTTGAGAGCCTGGAGGGCCACGGGGTGGCCACGAGAGCCTAGGGTTCTGACCGCACCTGGAGAGAAGCTCGGACACAGGGCAAGGGGTCTAGGAAGGTACCCAGGGCTGAGAAGCCAGCGCCCTGGGACGTGTGTGCTCCTGTCAGATGATCCAGGCTGGGTCTGGGCAGCAGGAGGCCACCTTGGGTGTTGTCTGAGGACTGCTCTCTGCCCCGAGGATGGAGCAGCACTGCCTTCCTGCGGCACAAGGGAGGAAAAGCCAAGGCTCAGGGCCTAACCACTTCCCAGCAGGTACCACCTCTTAGTGCCACCGCAGGGGGAGGCATCAGTTTCAGGGTGTGGGTCCGGGGGTCGTTCAGACTGGAGCTGGAGCGCCAGGCCAGGCTCTCAGCTAGGCACTGCCCTGCCGGCCTAAGGCTCCTTGCCTCTGTTGCTGGTGCCCACTGCCTCGCTGGCCAGTTCTGGATCCTCAGGCTGGAGACTGAGGGGTGTGGAGCCAGAAAAGGCAGGCGTCTTCGTCTGTCACTTTCATCTCCGAGTTGTCACCTTCCTGGCAGTTGTCCCTAGGGGTGGAACCCAGGCAAGGCCTTGCACACACCGCCCCCGAGGCTGCACCCTCGGCCCTGACTGCTTTTGAAGGTAATGTGTTTGGTCACAGGTGTCATCTGGGAGCTTGGCGCCCGCAGACTTAGGAGAGACAGGAGCTGAGCAAGCTGGAGGAATTAGACGCATGCAGTAGTTTAAATGTTTAGTTTTAGGACTCTCCGAAAGAGTGTGATCTTGTCTGTAGCTGAAAGGGAAGCATACCCAGAGGACCAACGTGCAGAAACAGGCGAGAAGAGGAAACACGGGACACCTGCCAGCGGAGCACCAGAGCTGTAGCAGTACTAGTGGGGAAGTGGGGTGCAGCTCGATGCTGAGTGCTCACCTAGCTTCTCTCCCGGCACTGCAAAAAAGGAAGTTCTGGGGTGTGCGAAAGCCTGCCTCGAGCTTGGCATGGGGACGTGGAGCCCCTTTTTGTGGCTGTGGTAAAGAGGAGGTGGGGGGAGAAGGGGGTGCGGGGGCAAGAGGATCGAAGTCCCTGTGGGCAGGAGCCCACCAGAGTGCCCAGCTTCTCCCAGCAACGGGGCGGCTCTGAGTTGACGGAGGGATGCATAGAAAGTCTGGAGACAGCCGAGGAGCCACAGGAGGTGGGTGGGAGGCGTTCCAGGGGGAGAGGGGGGCAAGGGTGCTTTCTGTCCTGCTTGCCTCTGCAGAGTGAGTGCTTGAGGCCTTCGAGGCTGTGTGCTCGGGCCGAGCCCTGGCACTGACATGGTTCTGAGCAGAGGGCACGTGCAGAGCTCAGGAGGAGTAGCAGGGTGTGTTAGTTGAAAGCAAAGCCCTGGATGAGCTCGCTGAGTGGCACCCTGAGCAGACTTGTGTTCACGGGGAGACCTTCACGGATGTGTGTGCAGGTTCGCTGAGGGCAGCCTGGAAGATGGGCTCAGGTGCCAGTTGCTGCTCAGGGTGGGTTAGTGGTAAGAGCTGCCTGGCAGGGCTGGAGGTGTGAGGCAGGCTGGAGCTCAGGTGCCCTCCTTTCCTCTGCAGGCCACCTCTAGGGTGCTGTACATGCTGACCGTGCCGGCTGTGTCCCTTCCCTGAGTCCATCGCAGGGTTCTCAGGGCCATTTCTTTTCTTTTGCATTTAGACATAGTCAAGTGTGGCTGCATGGTGGGGACACATTCTGAGAAGCCAGTCGTTAGGCAGTGTTGTTGTGGCAGCAGTGTCGTGAGCATACTGGCACCAAGCCGAATGGTCTGGCCTGCCACTGTACATGCAGTTACAGCACAGAGGAGGTGTTTGGTGTCTAAGCAGAAAAGGGTACAGAGCTGGGGCCGGGGCTCAGGGACAGAGTACTTGCCTATCATGCATTGGCTTTGGGTTCCAAACCCAGCGTCATGTTGATTAGAAAAGGTCCCAAAAGATCAAAGTTGAGGGCCGAGGATTTAGCTCAGTGGTGCCGCCACCTGCCTCGCAAGCACAAGGTCCCAAGTTCGATTCCTGGTACAAAAAAAAAAAAAATCAAAGCTGAGACACCTATGTGGGGTGCGGAGCATTGGTGGACCAGCGTAGCTGGGTGAGTGAACGTGAATGAAGGCTCCAGACATCATGGGCTATACTGGCCTGATTAAAAGTCTTTTCTTCCTCCAATAATGAATTGGCCTTAGCTTGCCCTTTTTACTTTGGAAACTTTTCAATTTTCTTTCTTTCTTTTTTTTGGTACCGGGGATCGAACTCGGGTCCTTGTGCTTGCGAGGCAGGCGGCGAAACCACTGAGCTAAATCCCCAGCCCACTTTTCGATTTTCTTTCTTTCCTGTGTGTGTGGTATTGCAGGTCGAACCCAGGGCCTCATGAATGCTAGACAGGTGTTCTTCCACTCAGCTACAGTCCCGGGCCTTTCTTTTTTGAGCTTTTATTTTGAGACAGGGTCTCATCAGTTTGCCCAGGCTGGCCTTGAACTGGTAAATCCTCCTGCCTTGGCCTCCCAAGTAGTTGGGATTACAGATGTGTGCCACTGTGCCCTGCCTCAGTTTTAACTTGTTGGCTATTATTTTCCTTTTTCGTTTTTGTTTTTGAGACAATGTCTCGCTGTCTTGCTATGTGATTCAGGCTAGTCTTGAACTTAGCCCAGGGGGACCTCAAATTTGTAGTGACCCTCCTGCCTCAGCCTCCCATGTGCTGGGCTTACAGGTATATGCCGCTATGTACAGCCCTGAACTTGTTGACTCTTTTTTAATAACACAGCATAAAATGCAAACTTACTGTAGACTAATAAATATTTTCTTTCCCTCTCCAAACTTTTTTCTTTTGGGTACCAGGAATCGAACTTGGGACCTTGCACTTGCGAGGCAAGTGGCGGCACCACTGAGCTAAATCCCCGGCCCCAAAATATTTTCTTTATATCCTTAATCTGTAAGCTTTTTTCTGTTGCTTTTTGTTTCCTTTTTAAACTTTTAACTGTTGACGAGTGGCACACAAATACACAGCCTGGGCTGGCACAGAGGCGGGACTGGAAGGTCTTCAGGGATTGTGCCCTTTCAGAAATGGGGCTGCGGGGTCACTTCATCCTGGATTTGCTTGTAAGTGGGTTGTGCACCGCGTGCACTCCTCCATGTTAATGGAAAACCTGGGGTTAGAGCCATAGTTTCCAGGTTGTGTGTGTGTTTTTCTGTTTCTCAGTGCTGGGTATGGGACCCGGGGCCTTGCTGAGCGACAAGCATTGTCTTTTCACTTTAAATACCCAGTTGGCTTTTATTACTGAATATAAATGGGAAGTGTCTCACCTGACGACTTAAAGAACTCAGGGCAGCTGGGCTGGGTAGGCAGACAAGTGCTAAGTAGAGCAGAGGAAACATTATGTGGAAGGTAGACTTGCCCTCCCCTCAGAGAGTTCCTGCAAAATCATTTCCCAGGGCTGGGACGCAGCTCAGCTCATCACCACTCAGCGTGCGCAGGCTTTTCCTGGGCTGTTTCTTTCTTTTTTTTGGTACCGGAGATCGAACTCGGGACCTTGCGCTTTCGAGGCAGGCGGTGGAACCACTGAGCTAGATCCCTGGCCCCTCCTGGGCTGTTTCTTCATCCACGCTCCTTTTTCCTTGCCTCCTCCAGTCGTGTGTTTGGCCTATGTGACAGGAACCTTTCAGGGGCCTCTGTTGCTGTGCGGTTCATTCTTGGCGATGTGTGACTGCATGTGGAAAGTGCATACCATCTTGGCTATAGTTGCGTGAGGGTTTTCCTTTTTTCTGCCTGCAGTAGTGGGCGTGGAAGCCAGGGCCCGTGCTTGCTAGGGAAGCGCCCTACCACTGAGCCATAACCCTGACCTCCCCTGAGCTTTCTGACAAATGAAGTAAGCCCTCCCTGGTGCCGTACGGTGTTCCCAAATGCTGGACGGGGGGCGGGGGGGCAAATTGGGTTTGGTGCACTGTTGTTTTTTTGGCGGGGCAGCTTTTTGAGACAGGGTCTTGCTGTGTAGCCCAGCCTGGCCTGGAACTCAGATATCCTCCTGCCTCAGCCTTGTGGGTCCTGGGCTTTGGGTGCACTGTTGGCAGGCTACTCGTACAGTCCTGAGCCCTTCCTCTCCCTTTGACAGGAGTGTAAGGCTGCAGCCTGACTTGTGGTTGACTGTGTCAGGCCAGACAGCAGCTGGTTTAACTCCCGCAGCCCCACACATCTGGCCTCCCATCCCGTTGAGTGCTGTGCTTACAGCTCCCTCCTGTGGCTCCATCCAGTCGAGAGCTGAGTCTGGTGTGACAGCTACTTAGGAAGGAACACAGCAAGTGGCCCACCAATGATCTACTTAGTCCTTTCTGAAGATTTGCCGGAAATACATATTCTTCCTTAGTCGAAGGCTCAGATCTTATAATGGTGGCTGTGGCCCTTCAAGAGCATGAGTTTTTTGGTTTTCTTTTTTCTTTCCTATTTGTTTATTTTTTTAAGAGACAAAGTTTCACTCATTGAACTGGCCTCAAGTGATCCTCCCTTGTTTGTGTCCCAAAGCTAGGACTGTGTCACCATGTCTGCTTGGAACTTGTGTTTTCATGTGATCTTAGCCACAGAAATGTTCTTGTGCACACCTTCTGTGTAGGCAGCCCACATGTGGCTCACAGGAAACACTTAACAAAGCCCTTCTCTTTTGGTTATGGAAATCCCTTAGTATAAACAGGTCTAAACAAACAAGGCCTCCCCCTAAGACACTT